TCTCTCTCTCTCTCTCTCTCTCTCTCTCTCTCTCTCTCTCTCTCTGTGTGTGTGTGTGTGTGTGTGTGTGTGTGTGGGTGGGTGGGTGGACGCAGCTCAAAACGGCGAACTCCCCAAATCAAGGGGAGTGCCCCGCTGGGGCAGATATAGCAACGGCCCACGGGCGTCGGGCACAACCTCCGCCGCTAGTGGAGTTGAATTCGCCTTTCTTTTTTCGTTTTTTTTTGTTTTCCCTTGTCAGGACGAGGAGGCGCAAAAAAAAAAAAAAAAAAAAAGACGAGGAGGCGCCCCCGCCCCCCTTCCCAATTCCTTTCTTTTTTTTTTTTATTCTTTTTTTTTTTATTTTAGAGGTGGGATACTATACCAATGGTAGTTATCCACAGTACTCGGCCACTTGGTTGTCCAGCTGAATCCCTCTGAAGACCCCACCCACCCTTCCTCTTATCACTTTTGCTCTGGCGCACCCTCAACCCCGGTATCCAACCCTAGTGTTAAAAACGCGGGACCATCACCCCTTGCCATATTGGCAGGCTGACCTGACCAGACAGCGGTTCCAGACACCCGGGCTAGCCAGAGAGACCTACCCCTCTGCTCAGCCCTGGTTGAAGCAGATGCCGTGCAAGCCCGATTCCACGGGGACTTCGGGAGCTAGGTATGAACATGCTACCACAGATCTTCATGAGGGTGCACAGTGTTACATTGTATTACTACGATTGCGTTTTGATGGTAGAGAGCTGGGGATCCTCGATTCCCTCATATATCCCTGGAGCCCGTTCTGGCCCCGCTGTAAGGTGCAGTATCTCCTGACACCCCCGACATCCCGTACTAAGGAGCTGCTATGCCAGCCTCAACCTTATACTATGTACTAGGAGGATAGCCAACCCTCAGTCATGTGTGTATTGCAGTGTTCTGTTGTGTTGATGGAAGAGAGCTGGGGATCCTCTGTTCCATCGTATATCCCTGGAGCCAATTCCGGCCCCACGGTAAGGTGCTATCTCCTGACACCCCCGAC